ACACACACACACACACAGAGTTTCAATCTGTAATACACGGAACTGGTTTTAAAATTAATATCTATTGAAACAAATCACTCCAATCACTGCACAAAAACATTGGACTACTGTGTGACTGCTTTATCAATTGCGCTACTCAGTTCAACTCTGGAGTGAAAACCAGTTTTTCTTTCATTTATTTTTGTGCATATTAAACAAAGTATTAAAAATACTAAAAGAAATATTACTTTTAACTTACTACAAAAAAAAGACAATTATACAAATCCCAAGCATTATATAACTACGATTCTTGGAAATTTAAAATTTTTTTACATTAATGATACAAAGAAATTTCTTCATACAAGTCACAATAAATGTATAGCAAACAGATGTTTGTCTACAACATTATTAGATCAATGCCATTATTAGAACTCAATTCAGATGTTTGTCTACAACATTACTAGATCAATGCCATTATTAGATGTTTGTCTACAACATTACTAGATCAATGCCATTATTAGATGTTTGTCTACAATATTACTAGATCAATGCCATTATTAGAACTCAAACTCAGATGTTTGTCTACAATATTACTAGATCAATGCCATTATTAGAACTCAAACTCAGATGTTTGTCTACAACATTACTAGATCAATGCCATTATTAGAACTCAATTCAGATGTTTGTCTACAACATTACTAGATCAATGCCATTATTAGAACTCAAACTCAGATGTTTGTCTACAACATTACTAGATCAATGCCATTATTAGAACTCAAACTCAGATGTTTGTCTACAACATTACTAGATCAATGCTATTATTAGAACTCAAATTCAGATGTTTGTCTACAACATTACTAGATCAATGTTATTATTAGAACTTAAACTCAGATGTTTGTCTACAACATTACTAGATCAGTGCCATTATTAGAACTCAATTCAGATGTTTGTCTACAACATTACTAGATCAATGTCATTATTAGAACTTAAACTCAGATGTTTGTCTACAATATTACTAGATCAATGCCATTATTAGAACTCAAACTCAGATGTTTGTCTACAATATTACTAGAACTCAAACTCAGATGTTTGTCTACAACATTACTAGATCAATGCCATTATTAGAACTCAAACTCAGATGTTTGTCTACAACATTACTAGATCAATGCCATTATTAGAACTCAAACTGACTATTTCGAATGTTTACAAATACATTTCTTTTTAATCTTTGGATCCTACCAAGTACTAAAATCAATGTAATTGTAAAAATCCATAATCTAATTCTCTATTCTATTTATGTTAACTTCAACAGTTTTAGCTTTGGTGTAATACCTTAAAATTATATATGAAGGCTCTTGAAGACTAAGCATAAGGAAAGTGAAAAAAAGAGAAAAATGAAAAAATTTAGGAGTGTTGTGAGAAGGCTCTAAAAATGGAGAATCAATGAGATTTTGGACCTTTGTAATGGTTTGCATGAAACAAAATTCTTAACATCTAAGGAGCCATTTATGTTTGTTTTTATGATGTACCTTAGAATTTACAAGATTTATTTGAAATCCTGACTTCTAAATAAGAAAACCACTATTTTATACCAACTGTGTTACAACTTAGAACTGGAATTATTTTTACAACACTAATAAGACTTCGAAACAGAAATATGACAGCATGGTGGCAATGTAAATGTCTTACAAATATTAGAAACACATCAGAAGTATTGAATACAGACACACACAAAAACCTATTACTATTTGGGAAATGAATATTTAGGAACAGTTTCATATACTCATTTCAAAATTAATATTGTGTTATATAAGGAAATGCCCTAGGAAACATTGGGTACCTGTTAATATCAGGGGTCATCAGCTGTGAAAATAAATACCTTCCTCAGAGTATGTACAGATCTTTGGATCCTTGAAAACTTTTGGAATTTTGAGTTTAAATGTTTGCAAAGTTAAATAAAACCTACTATGTCCTTGAAAAGTTAATATTTAATAAAAAAAATATGTTTCTCTAATATGAAAAAGGTAAGTAAAACAAACAAACAAACCCTCAGCAGTATGATTGACATCTATTTTTCTTTTTTGATATTCTTATTAATTGTCAATGATGCTATACTGTACTGTATACTCATAAGAAAAGGGTATTTATTTTGAATACCCAATTTCTTCATACTAGATCCAGATCATACACCAATTAAAAAAATAGTGAGAGATGAATATTAAAGCTAACCTAAGAACTGTTAGGCCTAAGGTTGTGTCCATTGAGGGTTAAGAAAAGAAACTTTTAAAATGTTATTATGTGGCCAATATAAGTGTTATTAATTCCTAAAAAAAATAAAGAATATATATTATGGAACCTTGTTAAATGCTATAACAATTAAAGTATTAAATCATTTTTAATTCGTCAACTAAACAATAAGGTTTATATATGCAGTAGCCATATTGCTAATATATTCTTATTTCAGGTTTCTTAATTACATTAATTAAAATATTTAAGAAACAGGTAAAAGTTGAAGTATATAAATATGCACATAAATAGTATGCAAGGAGGACTAACATAGAACAAGTATCAAAATCTACCGACCATAAAAAATTCACTGCAAAAAAAAAAAAAAATTAAAAGAAAAATACTTCCCAGCGTATGTATCCTAATTTTACAATGTAACAGGAAACAAAGTTTTTTTTCTCTTTTATTTAACCTTAAGACAGTGTAACCATGACTTAAGTTGCACTTGAGTCATGTGTATAAAAAATTAAATTCTTATAAAATCAGAAAATATCCAGTCTTTTACACATAAACTGTACTTTCACTGGCTTAGCACAATTAAATCTCTTTTGTTAGATTTATTCTATTATATTCTTTATAATTATAAGATATTGGTTGCATTGTTGTGCTTATGTAACATTTACTTAGTTGTTTATTCAGTTTGTTTTTGAAGAAGTATTAATAAAAACAAAACTCAAACCAATAAAAATTTTCAATTATCAAGATTTATTAACAGTTATAAATAAATTTAATATTGAATTTTCTTAATTAGGTCATCATTAGATACGTATACACGAATCTGACATAAAATAACAACATTCATAAAATTAACAAGATAGTGGCATATTAGATTATGCAGCAAGTTTGGAGAAGCTTCCCACATGATTTATGGAGGCTTCATTTCAACAAGGACTGATTCAACTAACAACACTCATTAATAGTGATTTCTATGTTATTTTTTTTTGCTACACCTACTAATTCTTTTTTTTAGAAGAACAGTTCTGCAATTCTACCAACACACAAATGATATACTTTATCTCCAATAACAGCATAGACCCATTTATAAGTTAAAGACAATAAAATCATGATATTGATCCAAGAAATATCAGAGAGTTCTTTATTTAAAAATACAGTATTAATGAAAATATAAACTTACGAGGTCTCATTCCAGGTGGTAAAGGATGCCTGAAGTTACCTTCCATACCACTTACTCTGGAAGTACCTATCATAGTATCTGAAGTATCAAAAAAACATCACTTAAATATTTCAAAAAGTAAAAAACAAGTGAAGTTATGATGTTTCTTCATCATTGAATTTATCACTAACAAGTCACAAACACCTACTAAAGAAGAATCCTAAGCCCCAAAACAACATAGTATATATATATACTATAAAGAAATATAACTAAAAGCCATTTTTACTTTGACAATTGGTGAAGAATAATGTTTAAATCCTGACAGTGTCACTTGGTTCAGCTATGGCTTCCTTTTCTGAAACTGTTGTATTAGTGAAACAGATTACATACTACCCCCAATACCACACTAGTACAACAGAACACATGGTCAAGTATTCTGAGGCAAGTTACAGCTACATTGTCCACTTACCAGCACAAATTTTGCAATAATAACTAAACCAAAAATAAAAAAATGGGGGTGGAAGTCGTTCAATTGCCAAGAGAGTGTATTCTGTTTACACAATTTTTAGACCCAATGAAGTCTATTAAAAACCATGAAAGAAATAATAAAAAAGTTAACTCTATTTCATATGTACTATGCATGATTATATGCATGTGAATTTAAAATGTTTCTTTGTATTCTTTACGATTACAAACTGTGAATGTATTTAATGCTTTTCTCACATTTTTTCAGAACATTAGCACATTCTGAAAACCTTTAAGATATCCACATAAAATCACTGATAGCTGGTTTCAGTTTAACTGTCAATTTACTCACCATAACACTCATGCAGCTATAACAAAGTAAAGAATTATCAAAGTCAAACCGAGTTATTAGTGTTTTATAACAGACACTAAGTAACGCTAAACATGACTTTATCACATACTTTGAATATATGGATTATCTGTGGAAATGCTAGTTGACCCTCAATATTGTATAAGGAAAGTATGTTGAACAAATTCAGCCATTTCAATCAGTTAGTTACCTTATCTTATTAACCCTAAGATATTGTAGTCTAGTAGCTACATGTTGCTCAAGGTCACTCACAGTGAAAAAGGTTACATAAAAATGGGCATTAGTTCGTACATTAGGGTCGGCTATTATTGAACTTGCAGTTGGTTAGCATAAGTGTAAGAAGGTGCTTGTCATGTAGGGGAAACAAGTTCTCCCATGCACATTCTGTAACACATATACTGATTATTTATATTTACTATTTCAGTGTATTTTACAGAAATTGGAGGGTACATTGTACTATGCTGTTCATATTTATGTGTTTTACTGAGAAATGGGATAACACAATTTGTTAATTATTCATTAATAAGGAACTTTCTAAGTTTAAAGTTTATTTACTCTCCAATGATCCCTTTCAAGGTATGTGTATTTTTGTAACTGAAAAATTCACTTAAGAGTGTTTGATCTTTTTTCCCTCTTGAGATTGGATGTTTTTGAAAACACTGCCATAAAAATAATGTGTTACATACTGATCTTGATTCAAAGTCAATTTGGAAGGTATTATATACTGTACACAGGGTAGCACAGCTGGTATGTTCATGGCCCCCACTGTCATCTCTCCCCAATCTTCTGTGACATTAACATTCTAGAATTCTTTAAGAATACTGTACATCATAGCAGGTTCAGTGGTCCCCAACTTACACAACAATCGATATATGAAGTTTTGGTCTTTAGTGTTTCTGTTGAAACAATCACTGACAATATCTACTTCTAACAAACATTGCTGTCAATTTTTACTGTCAGTCTATAATATTTTAAATAATTTTTGACTTTTTAAAAGTCCCAGTTATAGGCCTATTATATTTTCAAGTTGTGCTTAGGTGACTGGAAAATAGAGTTTCCTAAGATTATAAATTAACGTTTTTTTTTACTAACCGCAATCTGTTCAGAACACTCGTATATCAATGTTAGTTTATAGTATATTCCTGATTGATGTTGTAAACAATGTTCATACATGTTTTACTATACATTGCTAAACTGTATTTTGCATTGTTGAAGTTCAGTGTACCGAAAAATACTTTAGTGAAAATCTGTACAGATATAATGTGGAGTTAGCCTTGAGAACAAGAAACTTCTAAATGTAGTTGTGTAGTGGAAATGTAAAGGAAGTGTAGTTATTCTCATCAGCATTTGATTAATTTTGACATTGCTAACAAATATAATGACAGTTAGCCAATATATAAAAAACAGAATCATATGGTAGTATATATATATATAAGGCACCCTGAAAGTTGCAGAACATAAATTTATACATTGATGAAAATATTAGAAGCTTATATTTGCAATTATATTATAGCCATTTTCTACAATTATATATTTTGTTAAATGTCTAATTACAGCAAGTGTACAGGTCATGACATTTTTTTAAATTGTAGTATAGCTTAACTGAGAAGAACATTGAAACACAATGACAACATTAACATATATACAGGCAACAAATTAGCTGTGTGTTCACCAATACTGTTATTTTAGATTCAATAAGAAACACTTGCAAGATTTATATAAAAATAACTTCATTTTTTTTATCATTGAACAGTAGGTTCCTTTCTATTTCGTACATTATACATTCTTTTTAAGTCAGAATGACAAATATGAAGTTTCCTGAAGCAGAAATTTTCACTTATTGATTTGGTGCCATCTAGTGAGTTATAAAGCAAACAAATTTAATAATTATGATAACAAGATGATCATGTAATATCTGCTATCTAGTGACAACTTGTAAAATTACATTCACAATGTTAACAGTTCATAATATGATAGTTATCAATACTTCTATGATTTCTATTAAATTTATAAGGATTATTAACAGTTACTTATCTGTAATGGTAGATCATTATCAGATCTATGATTCTTATATAAAAATTTTACATAAATATCAGTTCACTTGCCAATAAAGCATTGTATTCCAAAAATTATGATTTTCTAAACCAGATATTTTGCAAAATGAAATATAAAAATTTGGTAATACATCAGTTCTATTATATTAAAGCCATAAACTTATTCACAGAGTAGTTGTATGCCAAATATTATGGCTGTACATCAATCCATTTGGAAATGACAATGTAAGCACAATCATGATTTTTACAAGCATCAAGAGGCCTTCAAAGCATTTGAATTGTAATTATGTGCATAAAGAAATTATCTTGCTTTAAAGCATTTAATGCTCTATCAAAATTTATAAGGTATACTACACATGGTACTTAATACCATTTGCAAAACAGCTTTAGTTAGAGTCAATTTTTATATGACAAGGAGTCATACCCTCAACTTAAGAAGAAAGAAAGTATCTATTTCAGTTAAACTCACTATTCATTCCTGGTTGTATGTGTGAAGTAATGCTATCTTGTCCACCTAATTTCTGAGCATTACTTGTCTTTAGAGTAGTTGACTGACCGGAAGTCACTTCAGTTCGGGTAGCTAACAATTAAAAAAGCATCTGAATGGTGATACTGTGTACAGTTACAGAGATAAACTAGATTTGTTACCCATCTCAACTATTATGTAAACTAAAATCAGCAATAAAAAAAAAGAAGAAAACTGAGATCCATTTTATTGACAAATTTCATAGATTAATAATGGGAAAACTTAGTAAAATCATTAGGTGAAAATTATATATTTACTAGCTAATAAAAAAGAAAATAAGAGATTTCAAACAATTTGAAAATATGTCCAAATAGTTATTCCTAATGAAAATTATCTTTAAACTCTAACCTCAACTTCTCCAAGATTCAATGAACATATTAGAATTGTGTTCTTTTTCTTACCTGAAGACCAGGGTTGAATAGGTATCTGTTCTTGAATAAGCTGATGTCTCTGAAGGAGATCTCTCAGCTGCTGACTTGGCATCTGGGGAGCTTCTCCTTTCAAACTAGCAACAACAGCAAGTGGTAGATTCTGTTCAGGATGAGAAACAGCAGGTTCACCTACAAGGTGTGAAATGACAGTGGTGGTTGTGCCTGAAACACATGAAGGATGAGGTGTTCTTGGATGTCTAGCATAAGGATCATTCGTTGTGAGAGGTGTGACAGCTGGTCGAGGGGTTAATACAGGCTGGGAATAAGGATCAGCTGAAGAAAGAGATGGAGGTTGAGAATAAGGTAACTCTAAAACATACCTAGAAGTTGGAGTCTCACTTGGTGAGGATAAATTGTTGGGCATGAACTGTTGAGAATGAGAAACTAGTGGAACTTTGGTGTAATGATCCATAGAATCAAGAGTAACTGACGATAGGCCAGATCTGAGGTTAGTGTCTGGATTAGGTGTGGAAGGTTGGTGCACAAAGGGTTCTTGTGGCATAACAGCATGAAGAGTAGGAGATGGTTGGCTATAAGATTCTGTGCTAGGTATTGAAAGAGAGGCATGCCCAGATGTTCGATTCTGTTTGCTTGGTGACGTGGTTGATAAAACAGACCTTGGCTGTGTCACAGATGGTTGACAGATGAAGCTGGGACATTGATTAACTCGGAAGTAATTAGAAGAAGCAGGTGGTGGTGTGATTGGTTGTTGTGAGTTAGTTTCTTCAGAAGACAGATGATTAACCTCTGTAGGTCTCCCTCTTGACACCTGAATTAATGGACTAACTGAAGATGCTACCCTAGACTGTCCTGGAGATCTTTGTGGATGAGATGGAGATAGCAGACTCTACAAAGTACAACACACTTCTTTAAACAAACATTATAACAAATGTTACAAAACACAGTATAAAATAATTCCTACGATCTCTATACAAATTATGTCTCAGTGAAGATAACACATCTTAATCTTAAAAACTAAAAGATGACAAACCTTCTGAAATCATACCTGTGAAGCTGATATTTGGTCAGGAGATGACAATGTTTGTCCAACTGTTGTAGATTGACTAAAGTCAGGATCACTAAGAATTGCAATAGGTGGTGTAGGTATACATGATGTTCCAGTTATCATAGAATCTGGTGTCAAGGGTGCAGACATCATGGGTGAAGTCATCCTTACTGGAGTTCCTGCAGGAGGAGTTGATGTTGATGGAGCTGAAGCAAGAAAAATATTTCCAGAAAATTTTCTTCTTGAAACCCAAGTTTCATGGAAATGTGCATTACTTATTTTGTGAAAGTTACCACAAGGTTATTTTAAATATGGCAAGACTTTCTTATGAAACAAAAAATATTATTCAACACTTTAGCATGAATTCTTTGCTGAGATTGATCAAGAGTGCATCACGTGGAATAAAACATTTTTCAATGTTGCCTTGAAGGCTGGGCAAAAAAAATTTCATCAATGCTGCCTGGTTCTCAAGGCCATTGCCATGTGTACTTGATCATAGCAAAACATTGCAGACAATTTTTTTGCAGAACAGTGAAAACATGCCAACTCATTTAGGCCAAATTACTAAACATTTACTCAAACCTGGAAAATGAATGTAAATATATCATATGGCATAAAAAGATGCAGAATTGTTGTTTAGACAGAACTTTAAAGATGGCAGTTTGTTGCAGCACATTTAGGACTAACTTATAAACAACACTGTAAACTTTAATATCAGTTAAAGCAAATTTTCTGCTGAAGTTATAAGTGCATACTTTATACATTTATCAGTAAGATCACTTGATGACTGGCTCTTATATATGGAAAATTAAGCAATTTAAACTATATATTGATGATTCTGGAAAACTATTACTGATGTGCATCATTCTGCAGCATATCATACAGACATCTATCCAAACATTTCTTTAGTATTTGAAGAAGTTTAAAAAAAATGAAGCACTACTAGTTTTTTGGTTTTTTATATACTTCCCAGTGCTCCCCCACACTCACACTGTGACTAGGACAAATGTTTCTTGTTGTCATTCAAAGTTGCCACACGTGACGTATGGGAGTAAAATGGGTTGGAAAGTATTTATTGGCATCCCACCTAATGTTGGTATATGGTTTCCCTCAATGTTTTCCACTCAGCCCTTCAGTAACCAACAAGATATCTAATGTACGACAACTGCATCCCAACCGTGCCCTCCTCACTAGAGCGCCGAGTAGTAACACTAGTTATCACGTAAATATGCTTGATGCTCTTGACTCAAATAGCTTAGAAGATAGTGAAAGTGAGTCAAGTAGTATTCAAATGAGTGATGATGAAGAGCAATGAGATAAGAGGATGCTAGCTCTCCATCTAGTGATGATAGTCAAGATTATGAACCCAGACCCAGCAGAGGAAGGCATAAACAGCATTGACAAAGGCAAACATTTGTTGCAGTGTGAGAACTGGAAAATATATGTTCCAGCCACAGTGAATGGGTTAACCAATGTGTTGTCAACTCTTACACTCCTCATTCTAAGCTAGTTTGGCTCAGTTACATTCTGAAGATCATGTACAACTCAGTGCTTCAAAAATCAAGTTCCTCTGTTTTCCATCTACCAGTTAAAACTTGCAATAGACCATTTCTATACATATTTTTAAGATATAAAAATGAAGGATTTGAAGTACCAAAAACCCTTTCTGAACTGGCGGGGTGTTTTTAAGTATCTTTACTACAGCTAAACTCAGCACCAAAAACCCTTTCTGAACTGGCGGGGTGTTTTTAAGTATCTTTACTACAGCTAAACTCAGCTCCAAAAACCCTTTCTGAACTGGCGGGGTGTCACGTATACCACTTAATTAATTTTTTTTTCTATTCCTACAACAGAAATGCTTAATCAAGTTGCACAAAACTTTGTAAAAACTTTCTAAATAGTATGTATTTTCTGCTTAAAAAATTCATTTATTAAATCTGATTTAGCATTTCCACCATATGTTTAGGTTGTGAAATTTTCAGAATTCTGTCTTAAAAATTGAAGTTTTGTATTACTAACTATTTTCCCAGTTTACCTCTAATAAAGAAAGGTCCACCTTTCAAAAGCACTTGGGTTTTGTATTTTTGTGCGTAAAGTTGATTTTTTGAATCTAATTGTTTCCTATCATCATGTATTATTGAACAGAATGTTCCATTTAATACATCAGGTCAATTCCAACCTGTTTGATATTCATTAATATATTTCTTTTAATACTTTATTTTGCCAACAGAAGCAATCACAACTTGCAGCTGTAAATCAAAAAGCATGGCAAAACTGTCAAAGATTTATTAGCGACCAATAAATTTACCTTTTAAAACAATATCATCATTACTTATGTAACATTATTTTTGATCAATGATATAGTTTGTTTCCAATAAACAAGTTCTTTTATTTCTTCATGTTGTTTAAATATGATAAACTTACCAATATATATTCAATCAAAAAATGATTTGTGTCATCCAGACAGTTTGCTGTTTCTTACCATACTTGTTGAACTTCCCTGATGTCTTCTCAAAGACGAATATCATTTTAGTATTCAAACAAAAATAATATAACACAAAAATAAGAACATCAAAAGAAACTAAATTACATTCCCAGATCTGCAATTAATTTTTAAGTGTCATAAACTTTGTATTAAGATACTTTCTTCACCCCACAGGAGTTTTGGGTGCATATGTCGACAGACTAAATACTGCTAAAATTACTATATTTTTGACATATTTATAAGGATCTCTTCTATACTCTCATTTCCTAGCTGTTGGCTCTAGATGTTTTCAAAGCTGAGCTGCATTAGTAACTTTTCATACCATGTGCTGCAACACATGGCTGTTGTAATAAAAAGAACTGATACAGAAGAGAAAACTTGAAAAGCAAGATATGGATCATTATATTTCCAAGGAAAGATACCTTAGAGTAAACATAATTATTTTATTTATAATGTCCAGAAAAATAAAAACATCTATTATTAACAGGCCTCTTCAGAGCTACAAAGAAATGAAAGATACATTTTAAACAAATTGTGTAATATAATAAATAAATGTTATGTACTGATATCAAATCAAAATATTTTTTGGGTAAAAGATTGTTGAAATGATCAGAATTATATATTATTTTTTTATATAATTGTGTAATATAATAAATAAATGTTATGTACTGATATCAAATCAAAATATTTTTTGGGTAAAAGATTGTTGAAATGATCAGAATTATATATTTTTTTTATATACATTTTAAAATGTTGATTTACAGGTGTGCACTCAATACAAGTGTACACACCAGCTGTGATATGGATAATCAAATCAGCAGATAAATTTAATGATGAAAATCACTGTTCAATGCACTTGGTTTTCTGATATGTATTTTAAATATACAAATATTTTACATCGGCTCTTATACTGAAGCAACAACAAAGTATAAAAAGTTAAAAAAAAAACTGTCATTGTGCCTACACTAAGCCTTATATACTAAAATAAGTGGTAGGACTAACTTAACATAATCTTCCTAATCAATGCAAATAAAGCTTTTTTAAAAATGGAGTTTCTGTTGCTGCTTTGTGGGAACAAAACATTTTAGCAGCATTATCTACTGTGTTCTCTGTCTTGACATAAATAGTGATCAATGAGAACAAGCCTGCCTTCATACCTAGCTCTTGATTGTGAGTCCTACTCACATGCTATGTTATACAATATATGGTTAATTATTCCTTTCTTGGTGTAGTGTGTATGCCTTTTTTGGTTTAGGTATTAAATGGTGTTTTTAAGAGCAGAATGAAACCAACTGTACCAAAAGTTTTAAATGTTTTTACTAGTAACGTTTGAAATGAGGTTAATAATGGTTACATGTTTACCCTGCTCCTTCTGTTCTTGTAGCATCTGTAGCTGTTGTGGGGCCTGAAACTCTTGCTCGCTTTCCTTCATTTCTTTGTTTTTGCGATTCCCTCTGGCAGAATCCTGTATTAAAAAATTAACATCACGTATGAACCATAAAATTCATTGGCAGAATAAATTTTTTTTTATCTTTGGCCTTATGTGAAATAAACCTTTGTTTATACAAATTTATGTTTGCCACTTTCTTTTTTTTTCTCTCTCTTTCCTTTTTATTTTTGCATGATTTAAAATGTCCTTCAAGAAAAGCTCTAAATAAGCTTTATTATCAAACTAACACCCCTGAAGATCACTAACAGTTGAACTTTTTTCCTAACCTCAAGAGAAATTCACAATATCACTTAAGCAGTGTGAGCAAATTTTGTCTCAGTAGACTATTGGACTGAAGATCTTGTTTGTTTGTTTGTAATTAAGCACAAAGCTATACAATACCACTGTGCCACGGGGGGTGGGGGGGGTGGGGTGGTGGTGGACTGGACTGGACTGAAGAATAGACATGAAAGTGTCAACATTAGCTTCCTGTTTCTTGCGTTAATATTTTACATATTTATTTCACATCAAAAGCCCAGTAGAAAGAGAAATTAAAATATATATCCTCTAGCCATATTCAGTAATATGCTTTACTCTTAAAACACACATAAGAGATTCAAAACCACATATATTCCATAAGCTTTTCCACATTAAAAATATATACAGAATATTTTACAATTCTTAACAGAAACTTCCTTTAGCAATATATCAATACACACTACAAATAAAAAGCACTCACTACAATGAATATGGCTGGACATTTGATTTCAGCTAAAACCAAGTACAAATAATTTTATATCTGGAATATTTTATGGCCATATATATTCTACTGGTCATAGACACAGCCTTCAAGTTTTGCATCCACAGTCACAGGCAGTGATAAAAGCAGCAGATGTCAATATCAACTTCCACAAATTTCCTATTCAATATAATGCAAAATGGGAGCTTAGCACGTTCACTGATGAAGACATACATGCACACATTTAACATTTGTTTGGATGTGCTCAAGACACATGTGCATAATAAGTACAAGATTTGTAACTAAGATTACATTTTAGATTTGTTATTGTTTAAATTGAATGATACTGCACTAAAACTCTTATCAGCACCTGCCATAGATGATGCCAGACGATAACTCATGGACAAAGTCGCAATCCTAAGAATTCCATATCGGTTCGGTCTCACAAAAAGTGCTTCTCTTACAAAGAGTAGAATGTTTTAAGATATGAACTCGCTCTGTGTAAATTAAAGACTTCTAATTTTACTTGTTAAAGTAATAGATGCAAAGATGTTTCTCTGGCAACACTCAACACAGTAAGACAAACAAATGAATAAAAAGATCAAAGTTCATCATCTGTTCTTTTCTTTACATGTTCACAATTGAAGATGTAGTGGCAGTGCACTCATCTACTGGTTAACAGCTGACTTTCTCAGCTTACTGGCAAGAGTATTGTAATGAGGAATTTTTCCTGAAATGTAGTGGCAGTGCACTCATCTACTGGTTAACAGCTAACTTTCTTAGCTTAATGGCAAGAGTATTGTAATGAGGAATTTTTCCTGAAATGTAGTGGCAGTGCACTCATCTACTGTTAACAGCTGACTTTCTCAGCTTAATGACAACAGTATTGTAATGTGGAATTTTTCCTGAAACGTAGTGGCAGTGCACTCATCTACCAGTTAACAGCTGACTTTCTCAGCTTAATGACAACAGTATTGCAATGTGTAATTTTTTCTGAAACGTAGTGGCAGTGCACTCATCTACTGTTAACAGCTGACTTTCTCAGCTTAATGGCAAAAGCATTGTAATGTGTAATTCTTTCTGGAATGTAGTGGCAGTGCACTCATCTACTGTTAACAGCTAACTTTCTCAGCTTAATGACAACAGTATTGCAATGTGTAATATTTCCTGAAATGTAGTGGCAGTGCACTCATCTACTGGTTAATAGCTGACCTTCTCATCTTAATGGCAAGAGGTTCTAGTATTGTGGAATTCTTTCACTAAAACTCTTATCAGCACTTGCCATAGATGATGCCAAACATTGCAGCAGTTAAAAATATTATCTTACATTAAAAACTACACATGGCTGGCCATGTGCGAGTCTCGAATGAGCAATGTTAAATTAAAAATCATAAATTTGCTAGTACCTATAAGAACAGCAGTAATTTTTCTCATTATTTTATAAAATTGGTTTTTAAAGAGTAAGGATCTTTTGTGTACAAGATAATTCAATACAAAAGATCAATAATCCTACTGACCAACTTAAACATATGTAGCTTTACTATTTTTAATTTCTAATACTTAAATTCCCCACTTCCTGAAGCTATCAGTTGCAGACTTAAGTACTGCTTCATCCTTAGTATTTTTGTTGTTAAATAATTCCTTTGGTGGCAGTTTGAAATATAGTGCATTTTTTTTTAGCTGAATTTTTATCTTGCCATTGCTTATCATACTTGTATATCTTTCCTGAATTAGTAATACAGATATTTCAAACTGCATTTAATGAGAGAGAGACTTTTTTTTTATGTTAAGATTTTTCTTAAACTCTTAAATTTGTTACAGCCAAAAATATGACTACTTAGTTTTAGCCACCCACGTAAATTCTGCGATAGTTCCTCGATTTTGTCGTTTATTTCGGAGGAACTATCGCAGAATTTACGCCAGGAAATCACCGACAATTCACTGAATACGGAACTACTAACCCACCTGCAGAACACAATCAACAAACACAAAGAAAAGAAAAGATCACTTAGTAGTTCCGTATTAGATTTATGTCGATAAGGTCCTGTTGTTGTAGTTGTATAAGAGAGCAGTAGAGTTTTTCGAGCTCGGCGGCTTTGATATCCTTTTTGAATTTAGGTTTAAAATGGCATTTTGGCCCCAGGTTGAGTAGTTGTTTCTGGTCTGTAGTCAGTTCTGTGTTGGAAAGATTCAGGTAGCACGCTTTTTCTTGTGGTAGGCAGATGGTACCTTGATACAGGTTGTTCAGCTTTTTTGTTATCCGTGATCTTTTCTTTTCTTTGTGTTTGTTGATTGTGTTCTGTAGGTGAGTCACGTCGTTTCGTGCTTTCCGCGCGTAGTTGGTCCCGCAAGGCTCCCGTGACAACACCCCCC